TCTACCATTTGATTAAAAAGAAAGAAAAACATAGGTGTATTATAGATTTGTATTATCTAGGTCAAATACAGTGCGTGGTGAGAGACATTGCTACTTAAAACTATTCAATGCTCAATGGAATTGGACTGAATATATTTAAAATTTTCAATACTAATTTTAAACAATTGTTTACGCTACTTTTCATAGTGAATTAGACAAGCAATGGATACCACATAGAGTTCTTAGCGGTTTATTATACTTAATAAAAATTTAAACGAACTGGAAAATGTAGAGCTCACTTATAGGTTGTCTTTATTGGAGAATGGTAATTTTTCTTTTTTAAAGCTGCTAGGTCAGATTCTAGTAAGTGTGGTTTTTCATGCGAATCATACTTTAGAGGTTGTGTTAATTCATCCCTTCCCACTTTTCCTCTTCTTTAATTTGGAAGACTAAGGTACCTCCTAAGGTGCAATTTATTGCTTGGATAATTGCTCATGGGAGGGCTAATACCTGTGCTTTGATCGAAAGAGTACTTTTCTTTCGTCCAATTGGTGCATTATGTCCCAAAGGAAAGGGTAAAAGTGCAGATCATCTTTTTCTTCACTGTCCTGTAACTTTAAATTTTTGGTTCAGGTTCAGAGAAATGCATATATGTTGGGTATTTCCGGCCGGTTGATTTTCTCTTGTTTGTGAAAGGCAGAATGTGTTTGTTAGGAAAACAGCCAATAGAGTTAGGGAGTTTCTGTGTCTTAGCAATTTTTCGGTTATTTGGTTGGAGAGGAATAACTGGATCTTTTAGAATCATGTGGGGTGGGCTGAGGTGTTTTAGGGTAGAGGTAGACTTTTGTCTTCACTTTGGGTTTCTGTTTCATATGCATTTTGGGATATGCTGCTTTCTTTTATAATTGGAGCTTGGAAAGAAATAGTAAGTTAATAGTGTATTTTCAGTTGGGGTTCTGTTTGTAGTGAGAACTCTTCTGTTTTTCTTCTTTTTTGGATTCTTTTTATTTTATTTTATTTTTGTTGACTACTTACTTGTCCACCTTGTCTGCTGTGATTTACTGTATTATTTTCTTTATATAAAGAGGGAACTATTATTGGCACTCCAAAAAAGTCATCCTGCACTCCTTCCAAATTTTTTACAAAGGAGGAGTGTGTGATGACTTTTTTGGAGTGCCCCTAATAGCTCCTAGAAATTCATGTTTCTTTTCGAAAAAGAAAAGGGATTTACTATCTTCATCATCTCTGTGTAGTGTGGCATATTGTAAAGAATGATTATCAACTAATAATCTCCATGCTAGTTTGCTTGCAGTCATTACCAAACGAGATGTATGAATCTTGTATTGGTTTGTGCTTGTTTCTGCTCGTAGTGATAGTATGATCAGGGCACTGATTAATTTTGTCTGTGACTGTAGTCATCTGTTTCCATGATTAGGTACTTGGTTTCATCCCATAATAAGTGATTGTGATGGGTGATGTGATTTATGTGTATGATTGCATGGATTTATACGTGTACGAACGACATCTTTCATATCAAAATAAATGCTTGGAGATTATGCTTAGGACATTTGTATGTGAGAGCTTGTGATGAGGACATCTTTGTCAAACCCATTAGGGTTTACAAAAGAAAGAGATAGAAGAGGAAGTCATTTAATTTGGTCTTTAAATCTGGCAATTTTTTAATTCCTGCGTTTAGTTTCTAACTTGTTCTCTAAGTTTTCCAGATTTTAGTAAGATTTTTAAGTTTTCCAGATTTTAGTAGGATTTATAAGTTTCCTATTTTATTTAGGTTAGAATTTCTGTTTTAGCAAGGTATTTTTTATCCTATTGTCTCTCGGTTTTAGTTTGCTATAAATACCCCTCTCATATAATTCATTATGGAGTTCAGTTATTGAGATATAAAGAAAAGTTTATTTTCCAGAGATTGGAGACTACTTGGTGTGAAGCCAAACCCCTGGAGTGATTCCAGACCTGTCCTTGTTCATTCTATTTTCTGTTTTCCATTGTTTTTGCTTCCGCTTAACTACCTAAATTCTCAATTCACCCTTGTCCTACATCAGCTTGAATTCTTCCTCAATTGGGGAGTATGGAAATAACACAAAAGGGCAGAAACTGCCCATTCTTCCCCAATTCCTTTTCGGAGGTCATTGCTACCAGTGTCTTCTTGCTGAACTTCTGCTCACACTACTACATTGGCACAAGAATGCTAGTTCCATAGAAGGAACTATTGAAGGAAAGGAGGAAGTATCTGTGTTGTAATGCAGAGAAAGAGAGGGCACGACTGTCATCACTGTCCTTGTCATATATAGTGCATGTACTCTTTCTTATCATAGTTGTTTCTCACAAAAGTGTTATAAGTCTCATCCTATTCTCTTCTTCCCATGTCACCCTACTACATTTACATGTTTTCGATGTGTAGCCAGGTTATCTTTTTAGTGGCATGTCTATTCCAGCTTTTCCGTAATCTCTAGCATTTACATTATTTTCACATTATTTTCATAAGCTTTTCCACATTATTTTCATAAGCTGCAGGCATTTCTCTCCAGTAGGAAATAATCGTAACTAGTCCAATAAGTCTCTCTTGGTTGAGGTATCATTTTTATATTTCTGAGAGAATTTCTCTCTGTTTAACAATGGTTGAGTACTTGAGTTGCATTTAAATAATGTCTCAATCTAGATATGTTTTATGTTTGTTCTTGTAGTACGGTCTTAGTAATGCATCTACTTTTCAGTGCGACGAAGATTTTACACTCCTGGTTTGTCAGCCAGGAACAAGCGGTGTTTTGGAGGTGGGAAACTATAGCTGGAGTTATTGCTGGTTTTTCAACTTCATTAATCTCCATAAGCTTTATTAAACTCCTGCAACAAATGAAATCTCGGTTGCCTCAACTTTTTGCTGCAAGAGTGCTTCCTCTCTATATGATCCGCTTCAGGCGCACTTGTTTTCTCGTGGCATACATCTCTTTTATGAGTTGGCTGGCTATCCAGTACGGGAAAAGGCTTGGCCTCCTGGAGATCATCACTCTTCTTAAGAAGTAGGGGCAACACTCTTTTTTGGAAATGCAAATTCCTTTTTGTCTCCATGGGGTCGTAGATTCTGCAAATTTCGAGTTGCAGCAAGCAAATGTATCATTCCCTGTACAATGATATACAATAGTGGATACCAAATGCACTTAATCATCTTGTTGAATAGAATATATTGAGCAGAGACAGAAACTGTATAGGCAACTTACCCCAGTTGAAACATCAGTAATCTTGATATGTAATGTGTAAAAGTATCTTTGATAATGTACTCTATTTTTCAGTAGCGAATTTTCTGGCTCTCTGGAATACAAATACTTCACAATCCCTGAGAAACGACGTGTTTAATGTCCACAATTTCCTTTTCTTCTTTTATCTAGGTTAAAAAAGGTGCAAGCAATTCAGTACGGAGATGGAAGCCATTCAAGCCTTTCTTATTTATTCATGCATTTAATTTATTCATAATTTGGTTTCTTTTTTTCCCTGCTTTGAGATTACCCTATTTGATCCTTCCTCTAGAGTTCTGTTTCCCAACAGTCGCTTGCTGGTGCTGTGCATCAGCCATAAGCCCTACAATGGGGGAGGGAGGAGAGACCATGACAGTGATTCCCAAGTCCAACTTATGAACCATCTTTTGGTGATTTTGATTTGGTGGCAAGATTTGCACACAACGTATGACTCATCTTGGCTTAATTGGTTTGCAACTACATTTTATTCTCAAGTTTAATTACTTAATTACATCGACACCACTAAAGTTTTTCGTGTTTTCACATAACTCCTTGAGGTGTGCATTAACCCTTTTGTTCACCGTAAACATGAATCATTCTGCAACACTAATCTCTTGTTACTTGATAGCATCAAATCAATCTTGAGCATATTTGTAATGACCTCAAAAATAATATTTGGTTTTATTATTTTTGTGGAAAATATTATTAAGTCGTGTGACTATTTTGGATGTTGTATGATTTTGGTTTGGTGTGGAAATATTGGAATTAAGTGACTTAATCCCAATTTGGGACAAAATACCTTTATGATTAAGTTTATGATTTTACAAAGGAAGTACAAGAAATTGAAGCGAGAAAATTATGATTTTTGATTTGGAAAATCGAGA